CTCTGCAATGGGGCAAACACAGCGAGGAAGTCCCGGAGCCACTAAGAAAGTGACTGCTGAGTAAATCTGCGTGATGCCTTTCAAGCATCCTGCCTTGGCTGTTTTGACATGCCCCAGCCACAGCATCCCTCATTGCAAAGCTGCAAAGCCTGGCAAAGCCCTTAGCCAGCGGCCATGCCGTGAAAATGCCCACCTTGTTGGGCACCTTGTCAAAGAAGCGTCATATTTGCAGCCATATGCCCGTTCCATCATACTCCAGCACGAACTCAGGCTCCACACAAAAAAAAGGCCCGACGGTCTCCATCAAAACCCGGGCTCACTACAATCAAGCTGGGGCCACCAAACGACCGCGCATCTTGGAATTCAGCAACCATGTTCAGTTTCTAACGCTTTGGACACAGATGGCAGAACTGGAGGCAGGATACCCAATGGCCTCAAGGCTGGCCTGATGTGGCGGAACCACCACCAGGTCCGTGGATGACGAGACGGCACTAGCACCTGGAAGTGCTCAAATATGTCGGAGACCCACACACAAACACGATAAAGCAAAAGTGATAGTAATAATGATGGAACGAGAATGGAGATAAAAAATAGGAAAAGTTGTGCATCGTGCATCAGTCCGAATCGCCAACTGCAGGAGCCCCGAGCCAGCATTTAAGGCAAGGCATCACTTGTGGAATTGCTTTTTCTACTGTAAAGCCCATGGCAGGGCACCTTCGCTCACTCCCCAGGTCAGCAGTCCAATTTGCACAAGTCAAACCAAAGTCAGGGGTATTCTGTATACAGCATGAATCTGCTATATATATATATATATCATGTATGGCTGCTACAGATCAACAGAATCCCGCTGGCTGAATCGCGGGATTCTGTGAGAGTTTCTTCCGCACCTTGGACCACCATCTCGTCGTCTGTCTCCTCGTAGACCTGCGAGAGAAAGCGAGCACAAGAAGTGCGCAGCACACTGCACAGCCTGCACAGCGCCTGATTGGATCTTGGCCTTTGGACCGCCTGCACTGCTCAAAACCACAATCAGTGACACCGCGGGTTGCAATCGAGTCGAAGTTTCGCGGCTTGAAGCTGCCTCCAATGGAGGGTTGTGGAAAGGAAAGGGTGCCCCCTGACTGACGACAATGATGAGTTCAATGACACAATGATGTTCAAGGCCTGGATGAAACTGAGGGGCCCCTCTGACGACTTGATATCAGCGATTTGAGCTGCAAGATCCGCAAGCTTGAGAGTAGGGTAGCCACCCTCTTTGTGCGAGGGACAGCTATTGAAGCCGCCTTGATTTGCTGCGTTCAATTTAACACAGGACATGTTTCCTGGATGAAGCGTGCAAGAAATTACCTGTGTCATGTCAGCAACTCCACACTCTCAAATTCACAAGAATGTGCAATTCACTCAATCCACATTCAGGTCCACCAGGGCCCGCCTTCTTCGCAGCCTTAGGGCCACGAGAAGTTGGCACCGTGGGGGGCTCGAACAGTGGGAATTCTGGGTTGCCTGGTCAAGAAGCTGTGGTTTTACTCTGTAGGCTCTAGGACCATTGTAGCCCCTTTGTAGCCCCTAGGTCCCTAGGTATTGTCTACTGAGTTGATCTGCTCTGAAGGTTCCCAGTTCAAACACTGATCCTGCAACTGTCTGCGCTCAGCTGTTGGGGCCAACCCACGCCGACCCCAACATGCCTCCTTTTCTGGAGGTGAAAGGCCTGGTGCAGTTGAGGCCTGCACACAGCGCGAGAGTTCTACCTTTCACTCCAAGTTCCCCAAGAACAATGCTGATTCCTGCTACCCAGCAGCCTGTTTACAACAAACAGTCCAGCAATTATCTGACTGTCGGAGAGGAAGGTGGAAGTAGAAAGTAGGTGGTTGTCGACAATGACAAGCAATGCATTCAAGAATCGGAGCAAAGCTGTGTCAAAAATAACCTGGAGAGCTGTTCTGGGGAACCCTGCCTCTGCCTCCTCATGTTCACCTTCTTCCTCCTGAGTCAAACAAGCATCAATCAATCAAAGCGGCCCATGTGGCTTCCGCTGCATGTTGGCTCCTCGGATGAAAGCGACACTTCTCCAACAGGCCCAAGCAGCTTGGAAGGCCTGAAAGTGCAGTGCGCACGTTTAACCAGCGCACTTTCCTTCAGACGCTGGTGGATTGCACACACTCAGGGTAGGACTTGCACTTTGGCTGGGGTGCCGGAAAAGTGCCTGGGGCCTCGCTGCAAGCACACCAACTGGAAGTCTGGAAAGCATCCGAGTGCTATGAAGCCGTCAAGAACAGGAAGGAAAGGGCAAGCACAAAGGGTTTGGGTGAAAATGTGGCTCTGAAGGTGCAGCTGTGAGCTGGTGACATGGTTGCGCAAGGACAGCAAACTGGCAAACCATTCCATGGTGCAAAATGTTGCAAATCCAGGGTCCGCCTTCTTCGCAAATCCAGGGCCCGCCTTCTTCGCAGCCTTGGGGCCACGAGAAGTTGGCACTGTGGGGGGCTCGAACGGGTTGCCTGGTCAAGAAGGTGTGGGGGTTCTATTTGTAGCCCCTAGGTATTGTCTACTGAGTTGATCTGCTCTGAAGGTTCCCAGTTCAAACACTGATCCTGCAACTGTCTGCGCTCAGCTGTTGGGGCCAACCCACGCCGATCCCAACATGCCTCCTTTTCTGGAGGTGAAAGGCCTGGTGCAGTTGAGGCCTGCACACAGCGCGAGAGTTCTACCTTTCACTCCAAGTTCCCCAAGAACAATGCTGATTCCTGCTACCCAGCAGCCTGTTTACAACAAACAGTCCAGCAATTATCTGACTGTCGGAGAGGAAGGTGGAAGCAGAAAGTACAGTAAGTGGTTGTCGACAATGACAAGCAATGCATTCAAGAATCGGAGCAAAGCTGACCAAACTCCGTACAATGTCAGACCTGTTCCCTTAAAACTGGCTTCTTGGTGCGCCACACGACAAGAATGCTCAATGCAAAAAGATTAAAAACACCAAGCCTCCGAAGTGGTGCGCTGCAATTCCTGTAAAACCTTGCGCTTCTCGTCCGAGGACAGCTCTGAGAAGGCTTCACAAACGCGCCGTCCAGCCATTGCTAAGTCTGCTGTCGTTGTTGAAGCTCCAAACTACTATAATAGCTCAACATGCTTTCCGTTGAATTGACTTAGCACACTTTAGAATATGGTTGATGCTTTCCTTGCAGAAAACATGTGGGCCACGGGCAAGACCAACATTTCCCCCAAAGGGCGTGGGATCGTTTGTGGGGAGCCACCATCGCAAGGCCATATGTCCACTTCCGCAGCATGAAATCCTCGTCTAGGCCGACTTACTTGGGCTGTAATGGTGTGGAAATGGCTGCAAGTTATTTGGATAAGCTGGGGTTCGATGCAGGTCATTTGACCTTCTGTGGCTGTTCCGTGACGAATGAAAAGGTATCACGGGAGAAGAACTCGCCAATGGCCTCTGTGAGAATGTGTTTTGAGCGTTGCATATTATATACACATACATACATTGCTGACCCCTCCAATCACAATTGCCTTTACCCCAAACCACTTCAGAGTGACATAGAATGACCCTGTCAAGGCGGCATCTTGACAAACACCGAGGGTCAGCTGGATTGTCTATCTTTGCTGGGCGACTTGTCCAAGGCTGGGCCAATCTCCATTTTTCAGTTCCTCGTAGGGGTAAACAACTTGGACAAGTTTGAAGTCGCGAGCGGTAATACCTCGGCCTGTGGCAGATCTCATGAGTGACTTGATTCTTCCAGAACAATCAGGCTCAACGTATCAATACAGAAAACTGCCCATCACCCAC